GCAGACAAGAGCTCTTGGTCTGAGTGCTCGTCAAAGGGATCGAGGTTGGAGCGAATCGTGCCAGAGAACAGGATCGGGTCTTGTGGTACGATTGCCAAGCGCGTCCGTAGCTGGCGAAGCGGAATGGTCGAAATGTCCACCCCCGCCACATGAATACTTCCCTGCTGGGCTTCCAGGAAGCGAAATAGGGCCATTGCCAGCGATGACTTACCTGCACCGGTACGACCGACCACTCCAACTCGGGAGTTTGGCGGGACGGAAAAGGATAGATCAGACAGAATGGGTGGAAAATCGGGCGAATAACAGACGGTCAACTCTGATACATCCACTTGGCCATCCGCGGGCCAGGACTCAGGCATCTGGTCGGTTGAGTCGTATTTTTCTGCAGGGATGTCGAGAGACCACGAGACACGTTCGACGCTGTTCAGAGAGATCTCGAGGTTCGCGTATTGCCTGATCACTTGAGACATAACGCCACTATACCGCATGATGAACGTGATAGCAAATCCAGCAGTAGAAGCTGTGATACCGTTAGAAGAGAGCACGAGTATAGAGGCCGCGGTGGTAAAAGCGGCGCCAATGGTGCTTGCGCGAACGGCGATCCAACGTGTAAGCAGCCAGAGACACCAGGATGCCCGGCAATGCCGGTCAATCTTGGCATACATTTCCTTTCGGTAGGTCTCCTCTTGACGGTAGGCACGAACGGTCATTATTCCATCCACGGTGGCACAAAGATGGTGAAGTACTGGGCTTCGCATGGTACTTTCAAGTTCCTTGATGGCGCGGATCTTCTTGATAAACAATTGTCCGTAGTAAAACGCCAGTAAGAGCGAACAGGCGGAGAGGAGGTTCAGCCAGACATTCACCAGGGAGGCAGCCAACACGATGGAGAGGAGATCAAACACAACACCAAGTGCGTAGTTGAGGTCATATGGAAGGCGCGAGTCGATCAAGCTGAAGTCGGCAGAAAAGTTGTTCAGAATGTTTCCAGCTGGGATCTGGTCGAGCCACTGCAAGGGAGCGCGCAATACCGAAGAGAGGAACTTTTCAAAAAGTCTTCGTGACATCTTCAAGGTGATGCGCACTGCCAGGAAGCTCCGACTGATCGCGACGATGCATGAGCAGATTGACAACAATAGGTATATAGATAAGAACCACGTAATATTCACCCCGGTGGACTGGGCTTCTTTTGTATCCATGTCTTCTGTGCTCCTGCTCTTGTTCGTGCTGTTACTCCAGATCATCATCCACAGACCTCGCCCAACTGCTAGTCCGCCATAGCTCAGATGCAAGAACAAGACAAGCAAGCAAAGATACTTGGCGTCAGTTAATTGGAAAATTCGTTGACGATTTCGCCATTTTTGGTTTCGTGTATTGGCCTCACCACGCAAATCATCTTGCCTTGCTGAGTCTTCTAGTTGCTCTTGCTCACTAGGTAATAGCGTTCCTATCCAGTTCTCCGAAGACTGAACATTCGATACCAGAGAGCCTTTCTTCGTGTGAGAAGCCCTCTCCACTCCTGCTGCAGCCTGGGCCATATGCTTGAATATCCCCATATCCCTAAGGTTTTGTCTCGGGCCAGCATATTGCAGTCCGTTGGTGTCAAGAGCAACCACGTATTCGGCTCTTGGTAAGCACAGTTCTAGGTGGTAAGTTGCCAGTATGCGTGTGCGTCCCTCGGCGAGACTCCCCGTCAGAGCATATTGATATAGATGCTGCGCCGTATGAGAATCAATGGAGCTGAAAATATCGTCCAGTACAATTATCTCGGCGTCGGAGTAGAGTGCGCGCGCAAGGGAGATACGCCATTTCTGGCCACCACTGAGATTGCTCCCTTGGTCGTCCATCGGGGTTTCATCTTTCAGCACTAGACTATCTATGTCGCTATTAAGGGAGCAGGCGAAAAGAACGCGCCGGTAGCGCTCCTGCTGAAACGGCAGGCCATAAAGGATGTTGTCCCTGATTGTCCCATCTTTCAAGCACGGTTCCTGGGCAACGTAGGCAACCGCCAGGCTTGGGGACCGTCGTACACTGCCATGCAAGAACTCGCATTCACCAAGTATTGCTGCAAGAACGAGACTTTTGCCAGAGCCAGACGGCCCCGTAATGATACTCAAAGCGCCGTATGGGAATGTCAAAGACATGTCTTTAAGAGAAAAACATTTAGTGTATTGATTTTCGTTCCAGCAAATTGTGGCCTGGTCCAGCACAACCCCATCAGCGGGCGCAATATCGACATCCCTGTCTGGAGTTCGAAGGAAACGTTCGATTCGCCGCAGACTGATCTGTGCTCCCGTTGCATTCAAGAGGATCTGGGGAAGAACTGCAAGGGGGGTTTCAAGTGCACCGAGGAGCGAGACTGAGGTGAAAGCGAGAGACGCCGGCATGTCGTTATGTAAAAGGGCATATGTGCCTAAGCAAGCGGCGGAAACAGCAACGGGGGTGATATTATAGGCGACGAACATGAGAAGCTCCCACTTGAAAACTTGCCACTGGCTGTGCAGCTCCTTCCCTCTTGACTCGTTGATGCGGTCTTCCCATTTTTCCTCCAAAGCTGATAATTTGACTTGGCGGATACCTTGAAGAACCTCGTTGATGACTCCCATCTTGCTGTCGCGAGACCTCAAGAGACCTCTTTGTTGCTTCGAAAACTGGCTGACTGAGTAGAAATTTCCTGCAGATACAAGAAGAAGAACTAAGCCACCGACTAGTAGGCACTGCGGTCCAAGCAACCGGCCGATAGAGAGAGCAGCAATAATGAGTTTCAACGGTGCCTCGTAAAGATGAAAGCCGACCGCTGAAAAGTCAGCTACTTTCTTTGCATCCACAGCTACCAGGTTCATGGTACCCTGACTGGTCGGGCTGGTGGTACTGGCACTCTGCGAATCCATTCCGACATTGTTCACTGCACGACAACGTAACGCTTTGTCATATATCACTGTTGATAGTTGTTCCTGCAGCCTCACTGCAATCAGATTTGACGATACATAGAGATTCCAATTTTCGATAAGAGCAGATACGATAGTCGACGCGCCGAGCCCGAGAACAAATAGCCATAGCCAAGGATCATCAGGGTCGGTTTCCAGACGCTGCAAGATTCCCAAGATAAAAAACTGGGGCACAAATGCCATGGTCCCATTCAAGAAGGTCAAAACAAGTTGAATGAATAGCGCTTTCCGATGACTGAAAAAGAGGACCTTCCAAAGGCTTTTGCTGGAAGCCGTACATTGTTGGCTGAAAGTTTGAAAAAGCTGAGGTGAACGGCTATTGTACTCCAGCTCAGGCAGATGGCTGATCTCCAGCTCATCTTTCTGACCCGCAGAAAGCAGCTGGCCTACCCATCCAAAGAACAATTGGTCCAATAAGGTTGTCGATCCTTTGCGATCCACCACTGTTCCATTTCGAAAAACGTCCGGTCGACGAGGCAACGATGCTCCGGCCATGCAGGCAGCCAAAGCGGCGCAACACTGGCCAAGTAGAAAGAACCAGGGCAGAAAGGAGAAATCCAACGCCTCATAACATCGGTACTGATCCTCAACTAAAAGTACCATCATAGCGACGCAGCCGATGCTTGTTTGGAGACCGTGTCTGAACCGAAGCGTGCATTCGTCTTCCATCCAGACTGCGACTGTACTGAGGGCCAGAGTCCCCCAGGCCCCTAGTCGCATCCATCGTGTAAAATCACCGGTGGAGGCAGACACAATGCTAAACACGACAACTTCCGATAGCGATAGCCATACACCAATGCCGGTACCAATTGCAAGTGCGACGCGTTGCGGTTTGTCGGAAAATTCCTTAATTGATTGTGGTGTCGCGATTCCATCGAAGTCTTCATACCCATCCGTTTGAATCATTGTGTCGAGGGTTAATTGTCGATGTCGCAGTCGATTCACGATGGCGATAAAGGCCCTCCCTCCCACCAAGGCCGCCACACCGAATCCGAATATGTTGGCCGCGAGGGGGAGCCCCTCGCTTGTCGTCTGAGAAGACATCTTGCTGAATGACTACCGAGAAAAACTCGGTAGCAAATTCCCGAGCGAGCATCGTTGAAGAATCGAAGATTAGACGCCCGAGCGTTTCTCGCGCGGTGATGGCAGGCTGCAGGATTAATATAGGATGGCCGACTCGTGGTTGTCGCGTCGGCGGAAGCGCTACAGTGGATCTAAAGTCGGAGGTCGGGTTTGATTTGGCTGCCCGGCTGACGTACCACTCGGCGCAATCTCCCCCACTCTGGCTTTGATTATGTCTCTGGTTGGCGGAGGCAAACCAGGCTTGTATTCATGGTTTTATCTGATTTGGGGGCATTTTGCGATTGCGACTAGGGCTGAGGCTAGTTCTGCATGTGGCAAGTGTGAGTTCAAAGTTAGGTAGTGGGGGCTACCATTGTGATTTGTTAGATGTGGAGAGAACAGGCAATGACGACGACATGCCAGGCATCCAGAATATCATGCACCAATATATGTCAACATCATAGATAAAACGAAATCTGTGATTGAGCATGAAACTGTAAGGAGGGCTATTTCTGATCGGCGATAAAATCCTGAAGCGCCAAGCCCGAAGAACCGAGGATCGGCCTTCGGTACTCGAACGGGCAAAGTACCACCAAGATTGGATTGTTGCACAGGGATGCATGTTACTGGAGAACACGAGGCTACTATGCAAACCCTACCCGTATCTTCTCCCTTCAAGCAAATAATATAGTGTAACGTCCGTGCTGAAGCTCGTATCTAGAACCTCCATGATCCGGGGTCGACTGGCCCAACCGGGTCCCCGGAAAGTGTAATCCGTGCCGGATACGGATGAACCCGAGCGCTAATCGCATAAGCATCCTGTTCGGATTACCAATGTTGATTGGATGAAGTTGCAAAGAATCTGACGATGGTATTGATCATTTACAAGTATATAAAGAGTTAATTTGTCCATGACCATGGTGCAGTCGCCACACTTATACTCCAAACTCCGTCAATTCACTGTAACTTACTTCTACTTTATTTAATATCCACAAAATGGTAGTCCTCGCCGATATCCAATCCTCCAATGCCCAGATTGCTACCTCCCTTCCTGAGGGCATGGTGGCTCTCTTCGTCGGAGCAACAAGTGGAATAGGCGAAGCAACCCTCAAGCAGTTCGCTAAGCATGCTGCACGGCCGCGTGTCTACTTCGTCGGTCGCAAACACGAAGCAGCCAACCGCATCATCGCTGAATGCGAAACCCTCAACCCCGAGGGGAAGTATATCTTCATCTCTGCAGATATTAGCTTGCTCTGCAATGTCGATGAGGTTTGTCGTGACATCAAGGCTAGGGAGAGAGCTCTCAATCTCCTCGTTCTCACACCTGGTATAGCGACTATACACAACGGTGGGTAATCGCCGGTTCGGATATATATATCTCTTGCCGCACCATGACTTGAACTACAGAAGTTTACAGAACGAACAACTGATCTCCATACTGCAGAAACACCCGAAGGACTCCGCAAGATCACATCCCTCCTTTACTTTGCCCGCATGCGTTTTATTGTAAACCTCCTCCCTCTCCTCCAACAAGCCACCAGCCTCCGCCGCGTCGTAACCGTCGGGGCAGCCGGATCTGAAGGCCCCATCGACACCACCGACTTCGAGGGAAGAAAGCTGTCAGCTCCATTGTTCCGCGGACATATTACTTCACTGACCACAGTGGCTTTTGAAAAACTAGCTGAAAAGGCCCCAACTGTGTCTTTTATTAATACTCACCCCAGGGCTGTCCAGACCGGAATAACCAGAGAAGTCGATAATGTCCGTATGTGGATTGTGTGGCTTGCTCTCCTGCTTTTCGGCCGTTGGATCTGTATTCCTGCCATAGAGAGTGAAGAGAGACATCTTTTTGTGGCTACAAGTGCGAAGTATCCAGCGCGAGATGGGGATGATGGGGTGCCGCTGTCGGAGGGAGTCGCGGTTGCGCGGGGCATTGATGGGATGCTGCGAGGGGGTGTTTATTCTGTTACTTCCGATGGGGAGAGCTCGGATAATGCGATTAAGGTTCTGAAAGACCTGCGAGAGATGGGCATTGGAGAGATTGTCTGGAGATATACGGAGAGTCAGTTTAAGCGGATCACGGGGGTGAATGCCGTATAGTGTAAGCTGGGTTGCATCGGAATTGTAGCCGAGATTGAATTTTATATTATTCTTGAACTGTTAGTCAAATCAACGGTTCCAATGGCATGAATTGATGACTTCAAAATGAAGTTATTGACAATAGCTAAGAGAGTGTATCTTCACATCACGTGCAGAGTCTCGATCAGGCAGGACCACGTGATGACGTCATGTTTGTCACTTGCCGGATCAGGCAATTCCGCTCTTTCTCTGTCGTCAACTTTATTCTGCTTCTTGTTCTGTATCTCCCATAATGGCTTCACTTCTCACTCCTTTGAGAGGAGGCCGTTATGTAGAGACAGATCACAGCTGGTGGCACCTGCATCAGCCCAATGACGTCTGCAGGCACAATTTTCCACGCCGACCTAGCAGAACCACGGCCATAGCCTCCTCTTGGCGCATGGCCTCACCATACTTCCCCTGGAAGTGTCGGCCTCGAACCCGGCTTATCAGAGTTTGAGTTGGTCACTGGCGGCTCATTTGTAACCTACTATTTACCATGTACAACAAAGGCTGTTGGCCAGCATGTCACGGGTGGGCCCGAAGCCGCCGATCAAACGCCGCCATCGGTGACTGGAAGAGATCGTACAAGGAACGGATCCGTTTCCACCCACCCAGGTCGCACAGTGTGAGGTTATGCAACCCGCCAATTAGGATCGGAATAGAGACACTTTGTTCGTGAGGACCTGCCTCCTCTTTATGCCTCTGGCAGGCCACCAACTGCTCAAGTTTCACGCAAGTTTGTGGGGCGGGCAACAAGTCATTCGATTCTCTGCCATGGCATGGTGGCTCACTAGATGGCAATCATCCCGGTTCTGGCGTCTCACTAACAAGGCGGTCTCTCAATGATCGCCTCAACGCGGCTGACATTTGCTGGTATCAGTTCCGATAGAATAATTCTCACCTACTCTACCGAAACCCGCCTAGATCTATCAGCTGGAACTATGGATGAAACGTGCAGAATCTGCCGAATGGTCTATTTAGGTGTGGCGTGGAAAATTCGAGGGTTTGGGTGTGAAGCCACCAATGGTTGCAGTCGGCTGTTCCCTGGTCTGCTTCTGTGACGCAATCTTGGCGCACCGTACAATATATTCCCGACGAGACCCCCTAAGTATAAGATATCCATTTTCTCCGACAGCAGGCTAATTTATTGCCATTGTACAAACTTCCGACTTCTTACCTCACTGCCATGGTGCACCCTGTTAGGTCTCTCAACAAGGAACTCGATCGTAAGTGTAAAATTTGACAGACAGACAGACTATCCCGCTAACAGCTCGTAGAGGTCGAGACCGAGTCGAAAGACTATCGATCTTCCGACTCAACGGAGGAATCCTCCAAAGCAGACCAAAATGAAGAGTCTCCCCAGAGAGAGCCCAGAAAGGGCGTCTCTCGAAACAAAAGCCAAGGAACTCAGCGTTCCAATTTCTCGCGAAAGAAAAGTCATGCCAGTCACCGCACTGGCGTATCCCAAAACCAGAGTTATCGGAGTCAACCTCCCGCTACCCTGAGAAACCAGAGCTATGGGAGTCAGGCACAATTCTCTTTGGCAGGTCCGAATGCGTATTACGGACCAATCCCTCACCAGGGTGCCTACATGCATCCAGAGTATCAGTCATTCAATCCTCAGTATGGAAACACGCAAGGGGACAAGCCGGTCTGGAGTTTAGCGCAGCCGCTACCCCATGTTGTCCGAGATGGAATGCGGTATGGAGCCTTGCCAGAGGATCGGAAGGAAGAAAGAGAAGAAGGAGGACGAGAACGCCCGCCTCCAGCAGCAGAAGAGCCGCCTACGGATATCCCGCAGACGGAGGAAGCTAGACAGAATGGCGAGGAGCCGCAGAACGAGATGGGATTTTTCAACAAATGGTCCAAAATCCGGTATTATCTGAGGGAACCATTGGGCGAGTGGTTGGGGGTGAGTACTTACCTAGACAATCACTTTAGTCCAGCCTCATTAACACAATCACCAGACAACCTTAGCCATCACTCTCGGCCTCTGCGGTGGGCTGGCAACCTACACATCGGACCAACAAGCCGGATCATGGATGAGCCAAAGCGCGTGCTGGGGCTTCAGCTTCATGATCGGCATTTACATTGTCGGTGGCATCTCTGGTGGCCACCTAAATCCTGCCATCACAATCTCCATGTCCGTCTGGCGAGGATTTCCCGCCCGTCGATGCGTAATCTACATCCTTGCTCAGCTGATCGGCGCCATCACCGCCGGCGGTATCGCCTACGCCATTTACCACGACGCCATCGTCAACCTCTCCGTCGAGAGTAATCTACCACAAAGCGAAACAACAGCCAGCCAAGCATTTCTCACTTTACCGAAACAATTCGTCAGCCCAGCTACTGCATTTTTCAACGAATTTCTAGGCACCGCCATCCTCGTCGGAACCATCATGGCCCTGGGTGACGACACCAACGCTCCCCCCGGAGCAGGTATGCAAGCATTCATCATCGGCATCCTCATCACTGTCCTAGTCCTAGCATTGGGCTACAACACAGGCGGGTACGTACTTCTCTTCATCACCCCACCCTATAACACAGCAACTAACCAACATCCAGCGCATTCAACGGTCCCCGCGACTTCGGCCCTCGTCTCGTCGCCGTAATGGCAGGCTGGGGCGGACATCTTTTCAAAGAGTACCACGCCTGGTGGATCTGGGGCCCGTGGGTCGCCGACATCTTCGGAGGACTATTCGGCGCGTTCATCTACGACTTAGTCGTGTTCACCGGCGGCGAAAGCCCGATCAATTACCCGCCGAGGAGACGTAAGCGCGCTCTGCTGATCAAGGAGAAGAACCTGCGGAGTAAATTGCGCCTTGGGAGGCGGAAGATTGGGGATATTGAGAGGGCGGTGGAGGAGAATCAGGATTGATGTTAGTCTGGATATCTGGGAAGGAAGGAGTTGTTTGTGTATTATGGCGTGGTTTGCATGCAATATACGGTAGCGTCGCATTAGCCTGGAGTTTCTTTTGTTTTGTTTTGTATTTGGAGTTATATAGGAAAATGTCTCTTTTTAAATCTATTTGGTGTTGGGGATAGTGTTATTGCCATCTTAAAAATCTATCCAAGTACAATTTAGTATTAAGAATAGGATTCTTCGCACCTCTAGATAACCCTACCCCAGTACCTCAGGCAATGAATGCCAGACCAGCAATATCTGAGGCCAGGTGAACTATGCCTTAACGAACGACATCATTCATTATCGACCAGATGAGATACATGGCAAAAAGGGAGATCTAAGCTGCCTCTCCAATGAATCATCTAAAAGGTTCCCACTGACTACCTCGTCGTCTACAAACCTAGTCCGTAGGACGGTGATGGTTCAGGGACATATTTATTGAAGCCGGATCAACTGACTACGGTTTGATATGTATCAAAGGAAGCATGAGCAAGCAACGTGTGTTTATTTATTTTAGCTTCTACGATTTCAAAGCAAGAGTACCTAAGCAAAGTACCACAGTATCACAGTACCATCGTGCCCATCTCACGCGGCGCCGGCGGCGGCAGCAGCAGCAGTTCCGCGAGCCAGAATCACTTCCAAAAACTCCCAAAACCCCACGCTCTCAGCCTCCTCGATAGCCGTCCTGGGTCCCGGTGTACAGCCGTAGCCCTGACATTTGGGTCGACGCCTCTATCCAAGAACAGATTCAGAAGCTCGCCAATTTGCTGTTTGCGGGTCTCGAACGTCCGGGGATTTCGCAAATCCTCCCGATCTGCCTTGGCATCCTTATAATTATGCACCAGTGCATGAATAGGCGTGCCCAGGCCTGTAACCTGTTTCGGATCAGCACCTTGGTCCAACAGGGCCTGAACTAGTTTGATATTGACTACGCGGGCAGCGTAATATAGGGGAGTGACCATGCGGGAGGTTTGCTTTGAGAGGTCGATGTCGGGACATGCGAGATCATACACGGCGTATTCATTGCGGTAGTGCATGGCGACAAGGAGAGGGGTTGAGTCCGCGGCTATGGTGCTGCTCTCGGAGTTGATGTAAGAGGATAGATTGGGAATTCGGCTCCCGCGATACCTCTCGTACTGGACGAGGCGTCGCAGAACTTCGGTGTCACCGTTGACAGCAGCGGAGTGGATCGGGGAGATAGGAGGGCTGCGTGGGGCGAAGATGGCGTTTCTGAAGTATGGGTCGCCCAGTGTTATGCTGATGTTTGCCCAGGACTGCGAGCGGAAGATCCGGTTTACCTCCTCGGTTCGCATGACGTGAGGGGGAGTCTCGTAGCTGAGGATGGTCCTTAGGGTGTTGTGCTCGCGTCTCCACACGCATAGAGCAATCGGGGTGAAGCCGTTACCATATCTGGTGTCCGTAGTCACGCTAGCGAAAGGGTCGACGCCGTACTTTTCCTTGATTCCAGGGTTCAGGAGGTATTGGGCGAGTTTGGTATGCCGGAGTAGGATGGCCGCACCCAACACGGTCACGTTGCTCTCCATAATAACGTTAATGGGGTACCCTAGATCACAGAGAACCCGGATCGGCCTGACCTTCTTTGCAAGGAGGGCTTCGCCAATGGTGGACCCACGGAGTCTCAACGAAATATGGTGGGGGGACACTCGAAGGGGTGGGGAGACCCCGGGTATGTACATCAATTCCTGTACAAGCGGAGCAAGTCTAGCTCGGAGAGCATTATGGATCTCAAGCTGGGGAAGGTGTTCGACGGGAAAGCGATGATCACGGCATATATTGCATATAACCTGAAGGAAGTTGTTGATATTCATGATGTTATTCGAAAGGGCTTGTTCGAGACTCCTGATGACTGGTCTGAGGTCATGAGGTACGTCTTTGGGTTCTTCCTCTTCAGAGTCGTATTGGGCTTCGGCGGCGGCCTCCTCTCTGGACCCCTGCGCTCTAACCTCCTCCGTTTCAACATCATCAGTTTCAAAGTCGCCATCCTGATCCTCCTCTGCCGCGTCAAGCTCCATGGCTTCGGAGCCAGTCATCGCCGACGGTGGAAGTTCAGACAATTCAGATGG